AAACAACAGTAAGAGAAGCCCTTGAATTAAAAAACCATTTAACTATGAAAGCTTAGAAGCACAATAAACCTAGAACTACTTAAGCTTCTGACAACCTATCCCTCTGCTACAAAGGACACTCACTGTTTCATGGGACTAGTGGTGCAATCACAAAGCCCGGCTTCACCAGGTGAGATCAGAACAGCTGACAGCTTGAGGAATTCCCCTCGTTATCGGACAGCGAGTTGTCTTCCCTTTATGTATTTCTAAACCCACAACTCTTACATTATCAAGCCATCATTATAAAATGGCACTAACTAAAATGCGAAAGGATTTTCTCCAGCAGTCAGTACAATACGTTACAGCTTAGCCATGACAAGAGGACAGAAAGTGGGTCAAATATCACCTCTCTTCAGTGTCAAATGGAAGTACAGTGTCAATGGACAAAGTCAGCATAAATGAAAACAAAACAAAATCAATACGGACACTTTCAAAAAAACCAAAAATAGTACAAAGTGCCTCTTGCAGAAACCAGATAAAAGGCACCTCCATCTCTTACTTAAAAGATTCTGAGTTGTTATTTTTTTCACTTTTTTGAGATGTTTACAGAAGAAGACAAAGTAATTGATATCCTGTTTCCAATGCAGTAACATGACTTTTTAAAACAAAGTGTTGTAATTTAGACCTAAAAGTTCACCTTAAAAGGCAGTAATCTTATTGGAAAAGTAGTAACGTTATTACCCTTTCTTATGACCTAAAGTTAAAAATAAGGTCAAAATAAGGCTATTTTTGCAATTAAAAAAAATAAGCTCTTAAAAATCAACTGCATGTGGCTATGACTTGCTATGAATCAAAAGTGTATTTCTGTAGTGATGTGATTCACTGCATTTATTAAAAAAAAATCATTTTGAATGTGGAGAAAGTGCATTTTCTATCCACAGTAAAAGGTGAAAAAAAGGACTTAAGTCAGAAAGGGGAGAAGGAAGGAGGCCGTGTAACAGTGGCCTACCTACATGCTCTATGCTAGCTTTGAGATGGTACCAATCTCCCTCTAAATAGAAGGGATCAGAGCTTTTGGGATAGAAATAGCCAGTTACTGCAGGAATG